TAGTATTTGGTTCGACGGGTGTTTGGAAGGAAGCGCGGGGTGGGGGCTCCGTCACCTCAGCCGCGAGGCGGGAGGTTAAGAGGGGTGACCAGGCTCCATTACACTCCCCTCATGCGACTTATTTCTCCTATTGAAAGCATATCACTGCATAAATACCACTGCAGATACTGAAAAATAAAATCCTATTGAAAAAATACCACAAAGTGCCCATCTGCAACACGGGGAGGACAAAATGGCCGTCCCGCACAGCCCGGGGACGTGTGGGACACACGCGTGTCCAGCAAGGAGCAGCTCGAGCCCTTCACAACCCCCCTCTGCTCCCGAGCCTCCCCGTCGTCCCCCTGGATGCGGCTGAGCTCCGGTGAGGAGCAGCAGCCAAGTTTCCCTTCCATCATTAGCTCCAAGTGTCCCAACCTGCATCTGCACAGGGGAGCTATTCAGATGCTCAGAGGTGGTCCCTACAACCTGACCTTAAGCCTTTTTCCCTTCTTTTTTCCACAATTCTACTCCTCAGAACACAAATATATACATTTTACCATTGCCGTAACTCCCCTTGCTCCCCAGCTTCTTCCCTGCAGCCTCTCACTCATTTTTACCCACGCTCATCCAAGGGATCTCGCCCTTCCCACGCATGAGGAATCCAGGCTGCAAAAACTGCGGATACCCACCAGAAAGGATCCGCTTTCCGGCTCACAGCCCCGCAGGGGAAACGCTGCCTCGTGCCTCCCCGCAGCCAGACTCCTAATGTAAGCAAGCTGTTCCCTTCCCAGCTCTCTGGCTTACGTCTGCTTCCAAACGGATGGTGTTAATGCAGCGGCAGATGCGCAGGGTGCCATTAGTGGGTCTTTTTAAATGGAAGCATAATTTTTTACCCATCAAGAGCCTTTTAGCATGTCGGTACTTAATCTTCGCCAGGGAATATGAGGCACAGCGAGGAGCTGGCCGTATCCTCAAGGCGGTCGTGCGGCGACCAGCCGACGCGTGCAGTTTAACCGGAGCTGTATTAGGGCCCTAGTGAATATAGCTTTGAGGGACAAGACAACTGAAATCTGGGGTTTATTCAGAGGAAAGGCACCTGGCAGCAGGATCTGGGACTGCATCTCCCCAGAACGGGGCTCAGCGGAAATTGCTCGGCAAGACACGGCTTCCCCTGCTCCTCTAATAGCTGCCCTCGTGTCGGGCCGGCCGACAAGGTGCCCATTAGTGGTGCTTGAGGCCGGGCGAGTGCCTGTGATGTGGTGATTTCCCCGCTGGGATCTCTCCTGAGGTCAGCAGCCCCGTTTGGATCATGACGGCACAGGGCCGCTTTCAGATGGGAACAATTTTTGGTAGTGGCCACATTAGGGGCTGAGATCATTTCGTCCTCAGCAGGGACTTAGGGGAGTCTTCCCGGCTTTTGAGCACAGCTGCACACGCCTGTGCGCATGGGAAAGGGAATGGGGTTGCTGAACACCATGGGAAAATGATACTTCTTTGCCCGAGTCAAAGGGGCTGTCTGCACTGTGGGCTCTGACTCCTTGTGCCAATAAAACTGGAGCCGGTATTATCCCTGAATGTGCAGGAGGGCTTTGCAAGCTGCAGCCGTGCAAGGAGGTTCATAACTTGGGGAAACCTGTTCCATGTTGTGCAACAGCACTGGGGTGAGTGGGGAGGCTGTGCTGGCGAAAGCAGCGCCAGAAATGGCTTTTTTTTTGCAAAGCTGGAAGCTTAGCAGAAGAGCCAGGGGAGGCATTTCTGTGCTGTGAGGCGCGTTTTGCAGAATTCAGGTGCAAGCTACAGGAATTTTCTCATCAGAAACTGCTTCCAAGATGCAGACAAGCTCGCCAGGCACCAGATGTTTGTGACCTGTTACAAAGAGCTGCAGATTTCCAGAGGCCTCTTCAACCTAAATATCGCTGGGATTCTGAACATCTAACAAATGACCAGTTGTGACTGTCACTGGGCTTCCTAACCCTTCCAGTTCTTCAAGTCCTGCAACTCCTTTGATGATTAATGCCCTATTAAATCATACTGTGCAGAAGGAAAAATGATCTCTCCGAATCCATGGATGAGACCTCAGAACCTGTCGAGATGCACTGGGAGGCTTCTAGGGATGGCAGGGAAAGAACACGATGCATTTCTAGCAGCCCATATGCAACATTTCTAGTTGCCCAATGCAAGGGCCAACACTGGATGACATCCCGGTGCTTAAAACGGGTCCTGAACAAGAAAACCAAATGCCGACAGCATTTTCGCACAACTTGCCCGAGTGCAGCAGCAAAATCCCAAGTCTTTTGTTTTGCAATTTAAAGACACAACAAGCATAAAAAAACCCTCCTGTTTAGAAACGCAGTTCTTCCCACTGAACAGCCCAGCAAGTGAAATTCTAGGGGCTGAGCTATGCGGGAGGTCAGGGTGGAGGTTACGGGTAGCCCTTTTGGGCCTTCACATCTATGGAAATCACAGCTCCAGTGAGCTCAATAGCAGTTTTGTCCTGCGGGTTTCAGCGGGACCATGGTTTCCGGGCACGAATTTGTGCGGTGCCTTGAGCTGGCCCTGCTCCCATCAATCATTCCTCTGTCACAGGAGCTGGAGCGAAGGAGGAAGGGTCTGGTTGGGACAGAACAGCCCCATGGCAGCTTGGACAAACGGGGGCTTGTTTCAGGGGCAGATTGACCACGAGCTTTCCGGGCGCTGTCACCTGCGAATTACCGTGAGCTACTGCGGAGGTGCCCCTGGTCGCGCGAGGGGGACGCGGAGCATCACGCAGCCCTCCCCCCTGCCCGGCCTCCATTAATTAACCCCCTATTTCTGTCAGCTTGGGGTGTTTTTTAACTACCTAAAGCAAAAATATAGACGGTTTCCTATCTGATTTGAAAACACCAGTGATCTTCCCAGCCTTCCTCCCTTCCCCCTTGAAATGAGGGAGTGGCTTGGCCAACTGGGACTTGTGGTGGTCTGTCAACAGGCCAGCTCGATATCTAATTACTGCTTCCCCTCAGGCTTCGGGACTCTCTTTTTGCCAAACAGACAAACAATTTCTGGTCCAACTTGAGATCCTTCTTGCCATATGCTGTTCTCATGGGACTGCGCCGCCCCAGCAAACATTTCTGGCTTGACCAAGCAGAGATTGTGCCTAGATCTCTATAATCACCCGTGTGTATTCATTTCCACTGGGAGAGACAATTCCCTATTAAATTTCAAAGGGGTTTACTGGCTCAGAGACACGGCAAAGCGACAGATCACACTGGGAAGAGCCGTTATTTGGACAAAATGTTACTTGTCTATGTAATGCAACTCGATATTTGTGTCTAAAACTGTATCCAGAGTCGGTGATTTGAGTTTGCATTTGAACAAATGCACCTCTCGTGTACATATATCTGATAGATGCTCTTACATATTGCACTGCTATCACCATGCTGGGGTGTCTAAACCAATTTGTCTACAGAGAACTTTTTTTAAGTGACTCAAAAATGACTCAAAACTTTAAATGACTCAAAAAGTTGTTCTTTTTTTTTCTCCTTTTTATCCTATACAAAAGTGAGTAGCTCCTTCTACATGGAAGATCTCTCCTTTCTGACAGAATACGCTAGAACACAGAGAGAGGGTCTCCTGTAGCCAGGGAGAACCTACAGAAGGAATCTGTAGCCCATGAATCAGCCCTGGCACAAGAGAATGATTCATCTCCACAAACCATTCCTGCCTCTCTTCCCTAAACATCCCCTTGTCTTACCCAGAGGTATGACTAAACTATGTCTATCTTGTAACCCAAATACATGAGCACGAGTCCTGATGAGCAGGGTGGGACGCGTGGCTGCTGCCACTTCAGAGCCAAGCACGAGGGCTCCGCGAGTTTTAATCTCGCTCCAGATCTCCGCCCCGACTTCAGGGTGCTGAGATACAATTTGTTGCACTTTGTGCTGTTGGAGTGATTTATTTCTGCATCTTGTTGAAGTTCCTGCTGTTGCAGAATCATTTAAGACTTGGCTGCTGCTTTTATAGAGAGTTAACCTTTAAGACCTGAATAGGGCGAAGCACTTAGAGCAAGTGAGTTGTACTTTGATGGGGCTACTCCCATTTTTAATAGTAGCTGGAAAAAAGCTTCCCTTTAAGACAGCACTGCCATAGGCTACGTGTTGCACATTATTACATGTATTGTAGTTGGTCAAGCTACATGTTTACCTAGAGGAAGGAAACTGGGCATGATTTCTTACAGATTCGGGAAAAGAGTGCCACTGATGATTTGTTAAATTATGTGTTTGAATGGGATGAAAATTCTGTTTTTATCCACATGACAGATTCTGCAGAGCAAGAAGCTACATATGCCCTCACTTAGGGTGTATCTGAACAGCAGGTCATGGTAACGTGCAAAAGAGAATGTCTGGGCGCTTAGGTAGATAAAACATGATACGAAGATTGGGAATGAGCAGAGCGAGGACCCTGTGCTCTGGGTGTCCCTGCTGGAGCAGGGGGTTGGACTAGATCTCCAGAGGTCCCTTGCGACCTCAGCCATTCCGTGATTCTGTGATGATCTTCCCAGGGACCTGCCTTCCCCTTCCCCCATAAAATGAGTGATGTTTTTACAAGTTCCTTTATCTAGGCAGTCTGCTTAGCTGTCTGGGATCAACCCTGTTGGCAACAGACACTGAAGGAAACTTTTATCAGCTTTTGTGAGATAAAAGCTGTCGATTATGACCTCTGCCTAAGCGCCAATTCGTCCAGACCCAACCATGGCAAATTCCACAGAGCCAAATGTTCCCACCTCATCCTGAGCTGTCGGGGCCTGTGTGTAGGTCAGTGAGGGTTTCTTGCTGTGGCTGCTGTGCTTTATGCAGCTTCCATCCAGCTCCTCGCTGTGGACCAGGCAGGGAATGGGATTGGGAAGAATGGAGGTTAAAAGTGACCCCTTTTGGGGTGCCGGATTATGCAGAGCTCTGATCACTTCTCTGGACCAGTCATTCTACCAGCACCACTGAGGAGGGAAATGAGCCGCCGTGGCCGGGTTGTGACGAGGAGGAGGGCAGTGAAGGCCACTTAAGCCGGTGCTGCTGTCAAGAGAAATATTCCCTGAACAACACATATCTGGCCAACCCCCATGGAAGTCAGTCCCAGGGACAAAATCCTGCGACCCAGCCCAGTGTGCCCTGATCTGTCTTACTCATCTCCCAGTGCTCTTGACAGTTTTTTGGCACAGCAGGAAGGCCCAGGGGTGCCGAGGGCAGGTGTGGGCAGGAAGGGAAAGGGGAAGAGCCGAGTGAGGGCTGCTAAACAATCCTGAAACAAGGACAAACAGCAATAAAAAAAGGTGCTGGGGACAGCACTGCCTCCTATGTAACAGGGATGGAATAAGACTTGTCAGCGGGGGAAGGTCTTAACACTGCCAGGAACAGCTCTGGGGCTTACATTTTGATGTGGAAAGAAGCAGGGTGAGCAGCTATGAGAAGGAACAGCCCAGTAAGGAGCCTCGCTTCATATACGTCTCCCTCCTCATTGCTGTATGTTTGCAAACGCTCAACTCAGACTGAATTACTACACCATAAAACGAGCTGAACCCGCCATGACCTGAAGGCTGGTTCAGTTTACAGCCAAGTCCATAACCCAAAAAGGATCAGCAGCGGGAAGAGAAATAAAAGTGTTGAGGAGCAGGAGCCAGCAGGTAGCCCTGAACAGTCAGCTAATCACAATGAATAATTTACTACAGCAATAGCACTGAGAGCCCACTGGCTTTTAGACCTGTATTTCCTGGAAATGTTTTTTTGCTCCTCTTGCATCATTTGTGAAGCTGAAATATTTTATGCCTGTCTGCAATGCAAAGGTGTTTGTGAAGGCCCTCAGGAAAAGAGGCTAGTCCATGAGGAGCTCCATTAGCCACAAGGCCAACACAGTGTCTCCATGAGCAGAAAGTTTGTCCCGGACCTCCGACAAGAGAAGCCCACCCGTTGCCAAGGAAAACACCTTTCTCGACCACAAGGCTTTGCAGTCCTTCCCCAAAGCCTGTTTGAATACAGCCCATTCAGTTCTGTGACTGGCTGCACGTGTCACCCATGCACACGCTTAGTCTTTAACTCATTTAAGCTCCTGACACCTCTTAGAGCATGTGCTAAACAAGCTAACTGTGCTTAACCCATCAAATTCCATGTTTTTTCTGCCTTTTCAACAGTCCTGATGTTCTTCTATGACAAGTCTGGAGAGACACCAATTTGCAGTTTTCTCCTCCCGTTAGTTCCTCCTCCATTAGTCCATTAGTTTCTACCATTTCCTATAAACCTCTCTCTGCTTTGTGCTTTTCTAAGTTCCTGCTCTGTCACTGCTTCCCCACAGGAAGCACAAGATCAACCGCTCCATCAATGCAATTAAGGACCTGACGAGGTTTCATTATGTCCTGCAGCAGAGAGCAGCTCTATTTGTGCTGCAGTAAAGCAGCTCTTAATTAGGCTATTGCTCTTCCTGGGTAAATACCTGGATTTGCCTCTGGAATTGGGAAAACTCTCGCTCTCTCCCTGGCTTTTTGGGAAAGGCCAAGTGACATCACACAGCAAACTTTTGCTTTCTGACCAAATTAATGTGCTGAGTGACTTTGCTCAGGCTGTCAGTGAGTGGTGATTCCTCTCTAATCAGAGAACTACTAATTTAACTACTAATTTAACCAGAACTACTAATTTACACTGTGCTCTGTACTGCTTGGCACACGGGGGCCAGCCCAGCTCTTGTCCCCACACGTGTAAAAGGGGAATCAGCCTCCTGCCACTGTTCTGGGTTTACAGAGGTGCTACAAGTTAAGCCCTTCTGCTCTGGGATATCCACAGCCCTTTGTGGTGACCTTACGACAAAGGCCAGGCTGTTTTTCCTAACAGATTCATTTGACCTCAGAGAAAGGATAACATTTTGGGAACAAATGGCAGAAACAGATACCTGGCTGTCACTGGGAGATCTCTGTCAGCCCTGCTCACAGCTGAATTTTGGGGTACCTCATGTTTTATCTCATTCACAAAAGTCCTCATCCTCTTGTGTCCTCTGCAGTCAGCTGAGAGAAAAGGGCTCATCCTAAGTTATGTTGCCTCTAGACTTTCATGGAGGAAATTGGGATAGCACCAAATTCTGCTCCTTCTTGCTAGGCAAGCAAACACTGCTAGATTCTCCTTTAAGGTCGTGTCATTTTCAGTGAGAAGTTAAACAATTCCCGTGTCTGTTTAACGGCCATATGGAAGCCCTTTGGCTGACTCCGGCAATCAGTCATTCTTCAGCTTGGAGTTAATTGTTTACTAAAACCGTTAAGCTGTGTGCACGGAGAAATGCCTTTGGGCTCTTGAATCAGTGGGAACATCTCAGTGAACCAGGGAGCCTCGGCTGCTCCCGGCGTCCTGCTCACAGGGAGGTCCTGGCTGTTTCTTTTCCTGAAGAATTTGCTTTGCTTTATCATGAATTTTGGATGGTGCGGAAGCTAGAGAGCGAGTAAAGCCCAGCCGGGCAGCGACTCTTCTGGGATGTGCACCTAGCCCTGAAGGGCCTTTCCTCTTCCCAAGGAGGAGTCTGTAGAAGCTAAGGATGCACTGCCATCAGATCATCACTGATACAAAGCACATTCAAAAAAGAGACCTTCCCGAGTCCCTAGCTAGCCCCAAGCACACGGGAAAAACAGGAAAGAGGCCACAGGCCTCCAAATGATGGCTTGAGGGCCTGCAGGGAATCCAAGCACAGGCAAGAACAGCAGCACAGAACCACATTAGGCTCTGCTGCCCAGTGCGAGCCACACTGCAGGTTAATAGCCCTGCATTCCTGTCGGATGCTCCTCGGAGGGATGTGCCACCCACCCCAGCTGCACCCTCGGCAGCGCGGAGGGAAAATGGAGCAGGAAGGAGCAGATCCCTGGCCAGTGTCAGCCCCAGTTGTCCTCCCTGAACTCATGCAGGCTGCTGACAAACCTCGTTAGCTTCCTAGAGACACATGGCTCATTTACCCGAGCAATTGAATAAAGATGTGGTTTTGACTGACTGCTAATGGGATCACTTGAGATAGGCTCAGCTGCTCAGCGTGGGTTTCAGTTTTACTTACAAACACAGTAAGCGTGGAAAACTATCCATGGTGACATAATGGGAAAACATTATAAGACAAGCAAGGTTTTTATATGCATTTAATATAAATTTCTTGGTTTCAGTTGGTTTCTTGCTGCAATTTTCTGCTTGTGCCTTTTTTTTTTCCAGAGAGATTTCTTTTTCCAGTGTAATTTTTCAATTTGTTCCTGGTGTTGGCAATGTGCAGGAACAAAATAATAAAGATCAGAAAACACATAATCTCACCTCCCCCCATTATTTTTGCCTTGCAGAAAGTTCAGTTCCTTTTTGCACAGGGAAGTCTTGAACCAACCCCTACTTTGAACCTGATTTCATGGTAGGCTCCCAGATGCCATGGTTATCAAGTGCAATTTTACAACCTAATTAGCAAGGAATTAAACACTGCACCTCGCTCTGGCAGTTGGGTTGTTCTTGCCAGAGGGGTTTTACCACCTGTGCAGGGTACAAAGCCTTTTTACTCTGTCTATGGAGGGTAAAAACACATGATGGAGAAATTATGAGGCCTCAACTGTTCTCTCCATGTCCTCTCCCTGGTTTATATTGCCCATTTTGGGGTAGCCCTTCCAGTGCATGGGTTTTGTGAACATCCTGCAACAGACTATTACTTATCCAGGCTCCTTTGCACTGCTTTGGTCTCTGGACCGTGGCAATGGGCAAAGCTTAGCCTGGAAATTCCTGCTCTCCCCTCCCACCTGACCTTCTCTCCCGAATTTCTGACCACTTCTGACCACAGAAGTTCTCCATGGTTTATATGTCAGGCTGCATTATTGTTTGGGGGCTCCTGCATCTCATCCATGATTTACTGAGACAAAAGACAAGTCCCCAGTAACAGGAAAACTGTCATCCTGTTTTTCAGATTGCTCCCTGTTGTCCTTGAGAGAAAGGGTGGGAGATGCCTGCAGTCTCCCTGGAGCTGGAGGCAGAGCTCCTGAGCATTCAGAGCAAGGATGCCAAGCAGATCCCACCGAGAAGACAGAGAAGCTGCTCCTCTCCCGCAGCCGGGGTACCTGGCCTCATTGCTTTTCTCTCTTCTGATGCTCCTCCCCACTTCATCAGGGTTGGTGGGAATGGCTCTAGCTTCTGAACAGCTGAACGCTGGTATGGCAGGGCACTGCTGCTTCCCAAGAAGGGTTTCTGACAGGAGGACTGGCTTCTGGAGGCACGTTTGAAGGATGTCTCCCCTGGGGTGCTGGCACTCATGGAGACGTGTGGGTGCAAGCACCTAGCCTGGGCATGTTTCCAACCATGATTGCCCTGCAGGTGATGATTGATCCCAAAAAGAGAGATACATCTTGCAGAGCACAGATGCTCTGGGAAGAGCCCCTTACTCCCCTCACCTTCTCCTTTAATGAATAAAAACCCCATTGAAGCCTTCAAGAATAAAAGGCTGACCAGTGCATCTGCTCTCCTGCTGCCTCCTTAGCAATGCTGTTTTCTCCCACAGCCCAGACTCAAGCTGATTTTATTAGAAGATGCTGTCTCTGAATAGCAGGCCAAGGCCAGAGTTGCAGAGTGCATTTCCTCCGTGGAAGCTTTTGCATCCACAGAAGATCTGCCCAGTTGCTCTGAATCACCCAGTCTGTGTGGCAACATGAGAGCACAGGAGTGCCCAGTAGGACGAGCTCAGGGGACCAAAACCCTTCTCCTCCCCAAAGCACAGGACGTTCTTAGCTAGGTAGCTCAAAGGCAGTTTGAAAGACCTGGGATAAATCATCATTTTCAGATGCACTGAAAACCCTACTAAAATTGTAATAAGTTAAACAGAATCACTGGCCATCCCTCATGAAGCTCCAGTTTTGTGATCAGATCTGTGCCTGCTGTGCCTGGATTTGTGAACTGTTTCAAAGTAAATTTGTTCCTAAACAAATCACCAAACAGAACCTTTTTAATGCTGTTGTGATAGACATGTGATCAAAGTTTTCTTCTACTGTTTGCCTGAGAATAACTCTTCTATCTGTAAAATCTCTGCTTATCAAATGTAATGCTGTCCTTGGAAAAATGTACATTAAAAAAAAAAGTAATAAATAGGGAAGGTTTTCCCATACATTCTTTCCTCTCTCTCTCTCCCAGATCACTTAGGGCTCGACAAAACTCTATCAGGGGTTAGCAGAGCCAGTGGGGATGGGTGGTCTCCATACTGGAGGATCCATCCTTCAGTTCCCTTTTATGCCTTATTAACCATGAAAAAATAAAGAATTATAAGTTGCAAGGTTGATTAACACTTATTTCCCCCTGATAAAGTAGCTAATATATGAGGAGCTTCTTTTGTCTATTTTTGAAAGCTGATATTCTGACAAATTTGGGAGAAACTTAGCATCCTTCAAAATCACAGGAATCAATGACAGCACTTGGCACGCATCCCACCCCCAGATCAAGCTACAACATGCGTGGCAAGCCCAGCCCTTGACAGAAAAGTAAACACTCACCTTTCTTGGTTTCACTTTGTCGTGGTAGTCGTATTGAAAAATCCCCTTGTAGCTAAGTCCTAACCACCAAGGAATTCCCTGCTTGTCCTGGAGGAAGGAAAAAAAAAAAAAAAGGGTGTTATCATATAGAAAGGGAGGGGAAATTCTGAAGTTTTCTTAGGCTGTTATTCAAAGTAAAGATTTGTTTCTAAGTAAGATCCTTGAATGTTCTGGGTGCTGGGAAATTACCCCTGCCAAATTTTCTCAAGTCACCAGGTTCCTTGGTGTCTAGGGGGAGGATCTGTTGCCCTTTCAGCCATGACATACAGAACCATTTAAAATGCATCACCTGCCATTAAGTTACTCAAAATGCTGTCGGGGGGCATTGACTTTGGTCCCTTGTGCCATGGTACATCCTCTTTCTCCTCCTTGTAAATTATTCAGTCTGTACACTGCGAGATTGGAGAGGAAGGAAGGATTGTCCAGCTGACTTGAATTATGAGGAGAGATTTTAGCATTAATCTTGAAAATGCAGCGTTAATGGGATCCAAGGGTTGCCAAGTGATAAGGTCTGACAGGCTGAGACCCAACTGTTTTGCATCTGCGCATGCAATAAAACAGTCTGAGGGAGAAGGGCTGATACCTGATCCCGGCCTCTTTGCAATTTGCTGGAGTCCTCAACAAAATTTTATCTGTTCCATTAGTGCGACAGAGAAAAGCAGAGTAAAAGGCAGCAAAACCAAACCCCCACATCAGGCAGAGGTGGAGCCTGTCATGTGCAGTATTTGCTGCCTTGCTGCTGCTTACTGATGCTTATTGCTCACAGTTTGCTGTTTGCAGACTCACCTGTTTGCAGGCTTGGGCAGCCAGCCCAATCCATCAGTTCTTTCCTGGCCTAATGCAAGAGAGATGGGTGCAAAAAGTGCTAGAGGGACCCTGCCCTCTAGCAAAAGACAAGGCCAGTGCTGTTCTACAAAATGCCATGCATATGCGCAGGAAAGGACTAGGAACACATTTCCCTGAGACAGATATTTCATTTGTGTTTTTATGGTAGCTGGTGTGTGCAAGATAATACAGACACACAAAAAACCTATGAGCTGTGCAGGGAGATACTGACAAAACACATCAAAACCCCAGGGATGGTAAGTGGTAGGAAATACTCTGGGCAGGATGGATCTTCTGTCTATGCTTATTGATTTCTCTACTTAAAAGAAAAGCAGCCCTACACTGCTGGTCAGGCAGGGAAGTGATATTAAAGACTGGAAGATTTTGAGAGATTTCATGAACATCTACATGAAATCCACATAGAAGCAGAGAATGTGTGTGTAGGGAGACGTGTTAGATCTGGAGGATGGCCCTGTGCTTTGACACAAAAAGGAGTTCTGCATATCCAGCTCTCTACATCTGAGTGAATGGAGCTGTGGCTGGCAGATCGTGGCTGACCCTAGTTTGCTGCTCATAAATCCGCAGGCTGGGAAAAATCTGACCTCCTGGAACAAGGAAAAGGAGCTGGCTTGTCCCTTTGGTGCCGGTTCACTGGCATCACTAGAGCTTGCTGCTGCTTGTGGGCCCAGCATCCTAGCACAATAGAAGGATTGCGAGAATTTTATCTCGAAGAACAGGATTTTCCTCTCTGGAGTTGTATTTACCAAACATTCACTACACAGCTAAGTAAGTTTACCCAGCCACAGGAAGTGAAACAAGACTTTAGCAATAGTGTATTGTATTCTGAGAGCAGGATGGTTATTTGTGCCTCTCCCCTCCCTCGCCACCATCATTTTAATTACATAAATGACCCGTTTTTAGTAGAGCGTACCTTCACTGCGTAGTAATGTACTCCATATGTTGGGAGGGATTCCACAATGCTCATATAACTGCAAAACAACACAAAAGAGAATAACGTATCTGCGGAACAGAGAAGATTATCTTAAAAAAATACTTAAATGAATAAATAGTTAAGTAATACATACTTGAAAATACAGTGTTAGATGAGATGGAGACATAGTTACATATTGGATTTACAGCCCAGTATAAATATTTCCTGACAAAGAAATGTCATTAGAAGGTGCTCTTATTTCACTTACTTCACGATTGCTTGACCTCTTGTCTGACCATTTAGTTTCTTGTAATGTTCAATGACTCGGTCCTCACTGGAAAGGAAGAAACAAGAAGCTGTTTTAGCTTACTGCAATTTCTTGTCCAAGAAGCTTGCCAAAAGGTGAAGAGACACTTCTGTTAACAGAGCTACCAATCGAGGTAATGAAAACATGCCAAGCAAAAGTGTTAGATAATGGAATTTGATGCAGCCTGGGGAAAACAAGGAGGATGCAAAGACTGAAAACAAAGAATGAATTTCTAAGAGCTCCTTTTCGGCAAGAGGCTCCTTTTGTTCACAGACGTCGTTTCTCTTTGTACAGATTTTCCCTCTCTGCCTGACTTCCCTTATCTAAAAATAGTACCCACGACGTTTCACTGTGTGGCAAAAAGATGAATGTGGGAGCTGCTCAAGCTCTGATTTGCCCCGGCTGATGCAAACTCTTCCCAAGGCAGCCCCCTTAGCTAGCAGAGTCCTCTGAAGTTGTAATTGGGGGCCAGTTTCACAGATTACCTCTCACTGCAGCTGTGTAACAGAGCCCGAGTGGGAGGACTCTGGAGCCTCTTTCTCAGATGCCAACAGTGCTGAAGTGTAGATGTGCCTCCATGTACTCCCGGCTTACATTAACTTGCATCCTCCCTAGCAGCTCCTGGCAGTGGAGTTTGCCTGGGCCAGGGCCCATTCCAGGGTATAGAGGCAGCCACGCAGATTTGGAGACTAAGGGAGTTGGATGGTCTGGATGAAGGCTCTTCCATGCCAGTGGGCTGCAGTGCCAGGGAACGGGCATGTTTGATGCAGGCATGTTTGATGCAGGCATGTTTGATATAGGCATGTTTGATATAGGCACGTTGCAGCATGCTGAGACATCCACCTACACAGCGGTGACAGAGCACCCAGGAGCCGTTCAGCGCTACCCAAACGACAGAGCCATTTGCAAACTCAACTTTACAGAGTTCCAATTCTCCTCCTCCCCTGGCGCAGGGGAGCTGAGGATCCGAGCAGGGCAGCTGTTCTCCCATGGGCTGTCACGGCCTGACGATAGCTGCTCTCCCTGCTCTCTTGCCAAGTGACTTCCCCGCTCGTCCCGCCACACTAAAAGGCTCTCAGTGGTGCAGGGTGAAGAGATGTCCCCCACCAAACACCGAGGCTGCAGGGTGCCAGTTGAGTTGGTGACAGATTATGTGGGTAAAGGAACAGTCCAGCTCTGCCAGCAAATCCTCGGAATATTCATAACGTTTAGAAAATGATCCTTGAGGAAATTCAACAGCCCTGAAGCTGACCTCAGCCCACTGATCCAAGCAAATAACTCGCGCAGATGTTACAGGCCTGCAGCTGACGGCAGAGCCTGGCTCTCCTGCTCCGATCATTGTAAACAGGATTACTTGGAGAGAAATAACTGAATTACATGCATGTTCAGTGCTGGAAGGTCTCCAAACAACCTCATGCTTAATGATAGAGATGGACAGAGAGGGCTTACAGCCCTTTGTAATTACCTCCTAACCCCCTGATTACATGTGGATGCCATTCGTCTCTGTCTCAGACAGGAAGAAATTAGAAGTGACTTCACAGAAACCATGGAGTTTCTCCAGCAAAAACGCCTGTGAGAGTCTGCTTTGCTTTCCACTCAGTGCAGATCAAGCCCTGATACTGAAGCCATTCAAAGAATGGAGAGATCCATGTCCATGCTGATTGCCTAATGTGATTCTGAATGTTGTCTGCTTTCTTAAAAGCAATTAATATAAAATAATGGATAAGTTTTTAGACATATCTCTTGTGTAGGGAAGCCGACCAGTGGCCCATTTCCTTCAGAGAGATAGATGAGATGTCAGGGAGCTCTCCTGAATAGTGGGATGAATAGCATTATGTCCTCAACCAGTCCTAAAAGGCAGGGGATAGTGCAGGCTCTCCCAGCTCTGCACAGCAAATGCAGGCAACGCTCTGTGCTGCCCCGTCCAGATGCTCCTGATGTCCTTGTCTAGTGTAAGATGTTCTGAGGTCTGCAGATGAACAGTGCCAGAAAATGATCACCCTTGTTTCTACTTTCATTTGGACAAAAAGATAAAGCCTGGATTATTAATAGAGCCGTGGATACTTACAATGGGATTCCCTGTCTTTCACCTAGGGTTTCTACAGGGCTGGTCACAGTTCCCAAAGGGAAACAGACACTCCGGAGAACATTTCACCCCATCTATTTTAGATGCCTTCCTTGCGAAGAGGTGACTTCGCTGGCACTGGGAAACTGAGGGACCCTCACTCAGGTGGGATGGAGATAAGCACACAGGCAGATGACTCCATCCAGGCTGCCTGACAGTCATTCCTCTTTCTAGCTCTCCTTTCCTTTCATTCCTGCAGCCCCGTGCAAGGAGGATCATCCCTCACGGAGGTCCATTCTGCCTCCAGCTCTGAGATGAGGGGCAGTCTGGCATGTGCCAGGGAAAAGAAACAAAATCATTCACAGGTCAGGGGGAGCATTAGCAGAGCTTCTGAAGAGTCTCCTCTGTCATTTCAGCTGTCCCCGTCAAGCGGCTGCGGTGCTGTTGCTGACAGGGGACACTGCCTGCACCACCAGCTGACGTCCCTCCTCGCCCTGGCTTGTTGCTGTGTCGGTGACAAAAATTCTCATTCACAGTGCAGGGATCACGGAGGGCATTTTACTCATGTGGAGACACGGGGGCTGCCAGGGCACGGCTGTCTGCCTGGCAGCTCATACAACATCCCCCCAAAGCTCCACAACGGATACGTGGATGACACCCTGCAGCAGACAGCCCTGATACGGATCTGCAGAGTGCCCAGAAGCTGCTCCTGTTTCAGCAGATACCAGACCTGCACAGCAGACAAACGCGGGGCCACAGCTCCTCCTCTTCCCAAAAGATTCCCAAAGATACCTGTTTTCCCCGCTCTCTTCCCAGCACACTGTTTTAAATAGCTGTCCACTGCTTACTGTGTTTTACTGTTACCCTGTTTCCACCCCGATTTGCCCATTTTGAGAATTTTCTCAAACTAACAATGTCTGCACTTGCACAGAGGCAGAGCCTAAGGTCTGTACTGGAACATCAAAACTGAATAGTGGTTTACAGCGGTTTACAGATGATATTTGCAGAGTTAGCTTGCTAAAAACTCAACTATTTGAACATGGGACGAGGCTTCTTTCCCTCTGGAGCTTCTGAAAATCTTACCTTGGTGAAGCTATCACAGTATCCACTTCAATATCAATTTGGGATCATTTTCGATGCAGTTTCAAATATACTATAGGATTTTTTCTTTGTTTTAAACTAACTAGAGCAATTACTCTCCTCACCCCTAATGTTTAAATACTTCTCTCTGGATTTGGAAATTTACTTCCTGTTGCTTTGTGTTAGTGCTGGAGAACTGACTGCATGGAGAGCGGGACAGCATGAATTTGAATCAAGTATTTAATTTGCAGGAGTTGCAGAGGTTAAGGGATGCAGCATGTCAGTACAAACAGTTGTAAAAATCTGCCCTTTTAGATCACTGGGGTTTGTTTTTTCAGAGGCTTTTCGTCTGATTCATCAGCAGCCTCTTCCTGAGAAGGTTCACTATTTCCGAGGGTGTTTATGGAAAACACACTATTAAAAAAATAATGAACTACCGGTGTATAGTGGGTCTGAAAGACTTAGTCACTGAAGAGAAATCAGAAGGGAGTTACAGGGCTGCACTCACTTGTTTTATTACCCGATTGGAAACAACCAGCTTCCCAGCTGGGACCTTTTCTTAGGCAAAGGTGAATTCCCACAAAATCAGGCACAACTGCAGGGAAGTGAGCACATTAATTTGAGGTCCCTGCTTCTGAAGTATCAGATTTGCCCTCTCCTCTGTCCCCGGCTGTTTGTTCCCACCACTGCTCCTGTGGTGGCACCGGAGTTGAGTTGCCTGTCGGTCAGACCAGGCAACAGACCTGGCTGGAAATGAGTCGTTTTTCAATTTGGTGGATTAGTTTGTGAAACAAGGAAGGAGATGTTCCAAAGAGGAAGACCATTCTGCCTCCAGTGAAACTGCAGCCTGTGTTTATCAGATTTTCACAAGTTTGGTTTGATGTGATGGTTCTCAGGCAGAAAACCAGGCATCTGTGACCATCCACTGCTTTTGTCTAAATGTTCCTAACCTCAGCCTAGGTCTGAGTGTCTCCTGATGTGCTCAGAAAATTTTTAGGCTCTTTCAGACTAGCTTTTCTACAGCTTTGTACTGGGCACAGCTAATTCTGCTGTTGTAACCATACTATGAAGACTGGATAGATTTCCTGCCAAAGGGAAGAACTGAGATAACGAACCGTGAAACTGCATTTTTTTTCCCTGCCATCCTTAAATTCCTTAAATTACCAGGATGCAGAAACTAAGAGCAGCAGGTAGAGGGAACCTTGCTCCCACCCCCAGGCTTATAGCCAAAGGCTTTAACAGCAAACATGAAAGAGGAGCAAACAAAAAAAAAATCAAAGGAAAGCATCTCACCATTAATGAATGTCTTTCCCCAAATTCTTTCCTGCTTGCATAGGTAGAAGGGGTGGGTGGCACAGCAGCTACCTGCGAGTGTACAGGCTTGAAGTGTGACCTTGCTCCTATCCTGGGTTTTATTTTCAGGGCAATAAAACCATGTTTACAAGCCTCTTCCCCCACTGAGCATCATCTAGTACATCTAAGAAGATAAGCAAGGCCCTTCTGCTTTGGCTATGCCAGAGAGGACTTGTGAAATGAAGTATAACCACTCAGAAACAGCGCAGAGCAGCACAAACCAGGGACATTTCAAACGGGGAGGCTCTCTTGCCTTTTCACAGATGCAGAATGCAAAAGGAAATGCCCCATTATGCCTCTTGCCTTCAGAGGACTTTCACATTTACAGGGGATTTTCTGGGCAGACATTACTGCAGCCACTTAGCAGATGGGGAAAGTGAGGCCTGAGGTGAGAGCTGGACTTGCACTGAATCATGCAAGGAATCAGTGGCAGACAAGAGCTAAAAGGAGGGAATTCCTGCATTTCCTGGCTTTTCCCAGATCACCAATCTGGATGAGCCACTGCAGTTTCTCAGCAGAATGACACGTTACCAGTAAGCAAGCGAAGGGTGCTCCTTCAGCGCTGGTGTTGGAAGGGCTGGCAGCTTCTTTAATTCATTCCTTACAACTTCATTGCTGAAAGAGAGTTCAAAAAGAGGATCAGGCTACACGAAAACAACCACAATATTTGATATGACCTGACCTAGCTGGCAGGCTGCAACGGTTCTGCATCTGTTCCTCCTTAACAAAAGGCACTGGGGTTTCCTTTTTTTTTTTTTCTTTTTTTTTTCTTTCTCTTTATTCAACTTATAGCAGCCCAGTTAACTTTCCCCTTTAATATCAAAATTAGAGAGAAACTCTCCCAGATGGTTGTGTCGAAGCCTTTCCCATCCCCGACTCGGAGCACACAAACCCCACGTCACACTTCATTGAGCGGAGTCCTACGGACACATTCATATGAGCGAAAAAAATCAAGGGCTGGAGAAAAGAAAAAAAGAGATTTTTTTTTCAACTACAACAAGGCCCCTTTGTTTAATGCCCTACAACCTGCTGCAAAAAGCAGTGAGTTGCTTTCTTAGCAATGCAGGTTGCTCTTAGCCTGTTGCCCCAGTGCCCTGGCCTTTGCACATCTTCTCTGATCGGATTCCAGCTTGAATCTCTATCCTGCCCCACAAGCTCCTCCATGGGGCCAGGCCTAACCACTTTTCTAATATTCCTCTCTCTGCAGCCTCCAGTGAGTGCTCCGGGCAGCCGGAGCAGGGAGCTGCACATGAGTGGGCAGGAAAGCTCCCAAAAGGGAACACAGTTCTTGCAGATGCAATGAAGTCATGGGATGTTCTCCTAGAGGCTCCTAATGCCTCTCCTGTCACCTTTAAACACACATGTGCACAAGCAAAAGTATCTCAAGGGCTTGGAAAGGAAAGCAGTGTTGCTATTACTTCTAAATTCTTAGAGATACGCAGGCAAGTGCCAGACAGGACACTGAGGAGCTCCAAATAATTAATGTTTATTGCCCTCCTTTTTAATAACAGTGTTTTCTCCCCCTTGTACTCTTCCCCTTACCCTGCCCAGCAGTGTGGCTGACCTGGAGCCGCAAATGCAGGTCCCTTTTGCAGAGCTCCAGACTTCCCAGCCCACTGACTTCTCCTGCAGGGCACCAGGGACATAGGCCAGGGGGGACACGTAGTCCTGGCACCCTTAGCAAGGTACTTAGCAAGTCTCTTCCCTCAGCATTTCTCCCTGCCTGAGCCCTTGGTTAGGTTTTGTTAATTGGGGCTCGCAGGTTAATTGCCAGGTTGGGCTATTGCATAAACTATTACCATTAATCTAGAGCAGACATTTGGGGCCCACCTACAGGCATTTGCTATCATGGTGCTTCCTGGCAATCAGGTAGTGTTAAAGCAAGACCACCATTTCTAGTTGAGACAAATCGCTGAGAAAGATGCCCAAATGAGGCTTGGATTTGCTGGTGGGTGAAGGTGGGTTGAAGAGCACTTAAAAGAAATGACTAAGGCAACCACTTCCATGCTAAGCACATAGTGAAGCACTCAGCAGCATCTCATGTGCCATGTCAGATGACTCCTGGCAAACACTCATGTTTGGACACCCACTGCTCCCAAGTCCCATGGTCCTGTGACATTCAGTTCTTCCTTGGTAAGTGCAAACGCTCAAAATAAATGTGTTCACAAGTCTCCTTCCATGGCAGGTAAATATCTGCACAAGTCTCAACAAGAAGCTCCTCTGTTCTGTATTATCTGCTGATTCGGCCAGTCTGCTCTGTGAGCGACAGCCTAGGAGCCAAGCTGTTGCTGCTTTAGTGTTTACCCAGCTCTCCATGGCATGGGCACCCTCAGCTTTTACTGATTTTTTAACACAACGAAAATATTTGAAAAAAAAAACCAAAAACCAAACCAAAACAAAAAAACAGACTGCAACTGAAGCCCAGGCAGCAGCCGCTCCACTCAAGTCACAGCTTTTTGAAGTTGGCTGCTCAGAATGGTTCCATGGAAGGAAGCAGTGAAATTTCCCCAACTCTTCTGGGAAGACAGGGAGTGATTTCCAAATAGGGACTTTCTGAGCCCAGGCTGCTATCGAATAGGACAAAATGAGTGGTGACTAACTGTCCTTGAGAAGCTGGGAAAAACCCTGAGCCCTGAAAGACAGGGCTGACACTGCTCAGCTTCTTCTTTTCCACAGGCTTCCCTGTAATAAAAAATATCTACCAAGCATCCGAGGAAAAGACACTGTTAGCAAGGTCGTTGGATGGGGCTGGCATTTCTGCTCAGTCCTTAGAAAATAAAGGTAACGCCTCATAACTGCCAAAGGCCAAGTGTATTTCAGGCAGTCATTTCCAGGAACAAAAAGGTATTTCATTCCATGATCCATGCATTCACTAACTCTTCTGGCAAGACTAGTTTCAAGACAAATGAATTTAGACTCCCAAAGGATGTTAAATGAAGAAGGAGGAGGAGAAAAATACTGACTCGGGTTGCATTTGAACTGGTGCTGGTGAGGTCAGTTTCCTCTTGGCTCCTTTTAAGACACCATGATCCTTAATTTTTTAAAATGTTTTCAACAGGATCACAAATGGTTTCTTACTTACAGCCTTCCCAGCTCCTTACATTGAAATATTGCAGTGTGTTTATTTTATTACTGTTATTTAGTGAGTGTTTGTTTAATCCAGTCACTTGTGTTGCATTTATTTTATGTTCAGAAGTGTCTAGCATACCTCCAGGGTTGATATATATGGAAGGGTGCTTTAGATAACATGTATTAATATACAGGGGAAAGGCCCCCACACATGGTCTCTGTGTCCTCCAAACCACTCAATTCCTGCATTATTCTGGAAATTATACCATTTAAAAGACTGAATAATAACAAGAAAACAGAGCTGTAAAAGCCATCTGCAGGGAGACTCTGAAATCTGGTTAGATGTTCAGAAATAGGGTTGCAAGAGGGCTAAGAAATGGACATAGAAAATAGGAGTTCTGGTCTTAGTTCTGGCACTGCCTGGTTAGTGAGGCCAAATAAATGAGTCTCCAAATCTCTGTGTACACATGGAGGGTAAAAGTGTGAGGCCAAATAAATGAGTGTCCAAATGTCAGATCTCTGTGTACACATGGAGGGTAAAAGGACAACCTAGACACTGCTGCGGGATGTTGTGCCAATCGCCTGCAGCACTTTGGGCAAGATTACATAGACAATTATGTCTCAGAAAATCCCTGCATATTCCAGCATGTGTAGTAGCGCCTATCAGTTGCACAATAAAATTGCAGGTGAAAGTCCTCAGCTCTTGGCAGCATGGTAATTAGCTCCGTTGAACACAGGAGGGATCCCACAGTCTGAGATTCAGGATCTCAGCACGGAAATACGAGGCTGTAATCCCTTAATGAATTCCGAGTATTTAAATGGCACTTGATTACACAGAAGGAAAGGTAAGCCTGAAATTGTGTTAGATTAACACCTGCCATTACCTTGATTTTACTGTAAAACTCAACCTAATGGCACGCTGGCCCTTTGCTTTCCTCCCATGTTCAGATTTTGCAGGGAAATGTTGGACTTCACTCAAAATATCTTATATTTCTTGACTGGAGGAAGTCTAGCAATGAGAGCCTGTTTCGGGAACTAGCTGCAACATTTCTTTTTCTTTAATTTAGGCTTTTCTTTTCCCTCCCCACACTGGGAGATGAATGATCAGTGTATGCTACTTCTGGCTGCCTTGGCATAGCTGCTGTTTAAGCTTAAGAGCTGGATCCTGCACATTTAAAACCAAAAGTCAGTGCAAGTTTCTCCCAAGATTTTGATCAATGTCAGACTCTGAATTCAGGATGAATTTAGAGGGAAAATATCAACTATTTTAGCAATATACTCTGCTCCCCTTAAAATTAGCTCAGACACTCCAGTGCTGTCTTGTATGTAGACCTAAAGATCACACCTATAGCGCTTGGGTTTATCAGAGGAATCTCAACTTGTGCCCATGCTCTGCCAACCAAGAATGACTCAGCTCCTGGCTAGAAATAATATTAGCTTGAGCTAACAAACTTTGTATCTTTCTGAAAAATACTATTTTAGGAGCTTTAAATATGTGATTCTGTACCTTTGAAGTCAAAAATGTTGTTACTGATATCAAGAAGCACAGACTTCCTGTTCATCCTGAGAATCAACTGAGCATGGATACCCATATCCAATATTCTGTGGTACATCCCAGCATAAAGGAAAGCTTTTTTCAGTCCTGTCTGCTGAGGCATTTGGGGAGTCTCTTAAATAAAGTGAAAACTGTTGTATTTTCATGAAGAAAAAAAAATCTTAAAGTAACTTTTTATTTTAAAACTTAGCTGAGCAGTAATACCTGCCTCAAGTTCTGCCCAGATCTGTATCAAATCAGAACTTGTTCTTTGTACAGCTCTGCTTGCAGAGCTCCGCACTGGAGCAGGCCACATGCAGGAAACCCCAAGAAATTCTTTTTTTAGGGTGATTCAGGCTACGAGCTCCCAGGCCCAGCAGACACTTGGTGACTCACAAGTTTGGCGCCAGGTAGCCAGAACCAGCCCTGAAAGTGTCACGCATGATGATACCCAACCAAAGGATGCAAGACGTGTGCTTGAACTGGCTCATAAATCCTCTTTGAGGAAAGGGAAGCAGAGTGCTACAGGCACAGCTCTTATTCCCAGGTATGGGATGAGTTCCCCAAAAGCAGCAGTAAGAGCTGCTGTCCTTGCAGGTGCCACAGTCCACAAGTTTGGAAAGTGGCCTCCTAGATTTTGTGAACTCCGTTCTGGTTTTTGAGCTTCCAGAAGGTCTGATAAGCAGCACTCAGCAGCCCTGAAGCTCTGATCTACCCCGTGGGTGCCCTGGGGCTTGGGGCTAAAGGAGGTAGTCGCGCCACGGCCTCCGTGCACAGCTGCCACCCCGCAACTGAAGCTGTGACAACTTGGGGTGTCACAGCCCCTCGGGTGATGGGCAGCAGCTCACAGGAGGGCTCCCGTGGGAATAGCAATTCTGCCATCATTTTGAATGAGTCAGAGCTTATGTACTTTCCTGGACCAGATCCAGAGAGAAGTGTGCAGTCTTACAGGCTGTAAATTCGAGGGTGGCAGTAGACAAGACCTGTGTGGAAACCTGCATGTCTGCAACCTGCATTCCAAGCATGCGACTCCTCAGAATTAGCTGTTTTTTTTTTTTTTTTTTTTAAGTACAAAGCAGGGTTTGAGGAGTTCCGCCTTTGCGCAACCTACGCTACCATCCCCAACATACTATCTTTAAATCTCAGCTGCAAGAGATTCAGCAACTGTACAGCTTCTCTGTTTCAAAGAACAACCAAGTCTATAACAAGCAACATTTCAGCAACAACTAACCTCAAACACCGAAGCCAACTTCAGCCCTAACCGAAATCAGAACATTTTTCTCCACTACAGTAACTCTTGCTGGCCCCAGGCTTGATTTGCCTCTCAGATTTTACACTGCTGATATGAATAACCACAAATCGCAGTGGGCCAAGGCTTGACCACAATGACCTCACGTTGACTTCAGTAGCACCTGGATCGCGCCCAGCACATAAACCCTTGTCAGTGCACGTTAGACAGAAGCTGCTGGACAGAAAACCCTACAGATGCTAAGTCTGTGCCTAGAACAAAGCAGGTTAGGGTAGGTTTCTTCTACTTTCCTCCAACAAAAAGCTTTAAATTCAATTAATATGGCAGGTTGCCTTATCTCCAATGCCCACTTACAACTTGCTCTTACAGCACCACTTCTCTGCCTCTGAGCTGGATGTAAGGTGACCACCTTCCACATAAAACCTTGGAGATCCACAGACGAGAAGCACTGAAAGCTGTTTCAATGCTGCTGGTCACACCGCCACGGAGAACGCAGTTAACACCAGGTGGTTTGGTACCTTCTGTGGTTTTAATGCCCAGTCAAACGCATGGCCATAAACTCAAATCATTTCTTTTACAAGGGGCATCAAGCTCCTTGATTTTGAGGTTTCCAAGTATGGATGAAATGGATACCTGAAGCTAAAATGCTCTTAGACATATTACCCCAAGCCATCTAACTGATTCCTTTCTGCCCTGAGTTTCACATTAAGAGTGGCTGAAATGGGCTTTTTAACTGAGTTTTCCTGATGCGCAGGATACTCTGAGAAACTTTAAATGCTGCTCTTCACAGCAAACCCACTGGAAGATGTGGTTTATCACAGATTGGAATGGTCAAACTCTGCTGGGTCCAGCTGTTAAGGGGTAATCACTTGGCAGGGTATAGAAACCAGGCAGTAAATAGAAGAGCCAAATGTGTCCCCACGGCCCCTAAGCAAACTCTGCTGATAACTGAGTTATTCTGAAGTGGGTGGAACTGAAAAAGGAAGCAAGACTGGGCTTGTGTTTCTGTGGTCAGATGCTTGTCAGGATTTTGCAAGCTGACTGAGGGTCTGAGGACAGATAAGGCAGAACTTGAACTTCCTTTTATCAAGGGTTAGCTCGTGTCATCTCACATTCCGGGACGAGCATGCAATACTTGCAATGCATTGTCTCTTTTCACTGATTTGTCCAAATTTAGCTGTCTAGAAGTCTTTGTCCAACAGGAGATATTATGTTTATCATCCATGGGTCTACAGAACAGCTCTGCACTTTTCCCTCAATATTCCTCAATGCTGATGAAAGAGGCACTTCTTCATGCTTTGCTGGCAATTCAACCTCCTTGTCCATTCAACCTTTTTTATTTTTTCTTTTTTTTGAAATAAACTGTAGTGCATGTTGTGATCCTCCAGCTGAACTCAAGTTCCACAAATGTAATATATAGTACATGGAAGTTTTTAGAACTGACAGTTCTCCTGGGCTTCAGATCGAGAACATTCGTGTTTCTCATGCGAGGCATGAAAAAAAAATCACCTGATATCAACCTTTGATCACTAGTAGTGTGTAACTCATGGATAGTGTCAACCCACAAGAAAATACGGCATTTCGTCAGCAGTCTTCTGAAACACTAAGCACAGTCACCTCTTTGAATTTCTTACAGCACTTGTAAACTTTAGGCTGAAAGGAAGCAGAATCCCAATCATCTACATTCTGATTTTGATAACTCTGTCCGAATTCAAGCTGAAATATCAATTAGTGATGGAATTTTAAGCCTCTGGTTAGCTATGTGATATAACAACAGTTGTGGATTCATTTCCTTAGTAATTTCCTTCTGGAGACTACCCTATTTCCTGAACTTCATGGGCATATAAAGGCATTTGTCAACAACGCAGTCACAAACAATGCTGTTTGCGACGTGTGCTCTGGTCAAGGGCTGTGTTTTGTGAAAAATGGATTTCTAGCTACGAACTGGGTCATGTATCACTTGCACAAGGATTTAATGAGCTTCATTCCCACAGCACACAATGACAAAACATTTAACTTCACTTACCTTGAAAAATCTCCTTTTGCCTCCTGTAAAATGAAGCATGGAAAGAAAAAAAAATATATTAAAAGCAGAAAAAAAAAAGAATAAGAAAACCATTGTTCGAGATAAGCACTTTGCAAAGTTAATTTATCATTAATATCCTTTTCTAACTGATTTCTCAAATATTTTCTGCAACCAGTTTCTAATGGACTAAGTCAAGTGTCCTGACAGATATGTCAGTCAGTTAAACAAATTTATTAAACCAAAGGTTTGTGACATATGTGGATAGATGATTTCTTATTCTGTTTGTGGATACCAAACAGGCTGCAGGAAATAATACTAGCAAATTGGGCTCAATATGGAAGTTATATTAGTAAAAGGTCTCCAAAGTCTCCATGGACTTTGAAAACTCCCTGTCTCTTCTTACAAGTATCCTGGTTATTTTAGTAACTAGATTTTGAAAAGCCTAGCTCACTCTCAGCTTTCAAGGAGATGCCTCACTTTGTGGAATTATTTAGTTTTCTTACATAAAAAGCTAAATATCTCTATTTTTTTACCATCACGGCGTTTAGTAATGTTCCACTCTAGTAGTTAGGTTAATACCAGAGTCTTACCGGATATCTGGAACCCTCCACATTTGCCCCGTCACCTTCTGAATAGATGTAATGCACATTTTGCATTTTTCACTCACAAATTGCATTTTACAAACTGTATGTCAAGCATTTGCTGGCAGCTATTTAAAAGTACAGTGCAATAACGTAGTTTGCAACTGGTCAGTAATGTAACTTGTTTTCAAATGCCAAGAGAACCTGGCTTTACATTCAGGTGTTTGTCTCTGCAGACGTTGAGCCACCCACAAAACCACTCAGCCCAAGTTCAATGAAGTTTTAATCCTGAGGTTGGGATAGATTTGTGTTGGTGACACGAGCAAGGATGCAGACTAAATCACTTGAGTTCTGACAGTCCTCTAGTGGCTCCCACTTTCACCTGAGTGAACTGAAAGTCAATCTTTCCTATGTTCACAGGAAGGAATCATTGTGAGTATCATAATTTAAGTTAAATGTATAGCAAAAACTAAAAGATGCACCACAGATTGTGCAGGCACGAGCATATTAAAACCTGTGGGGAAGAGCCTCTATATCCCCGTTCTCAGACCCAAATGCTGTAGTGAACACTGAGAGTAGAACAGAGAGCTGTACGATCGCTCCTGCTGTCCTTGGATCCTGTCACAGACTTGGGTTGTAGTAATTTCTGGTTGCAAACAGCAGAGGTGTGGCCTGTTTTGGCTGCTTTCATTACGTTGCACATTAAATTACTACAGGAATACAGGCAACATCGTGTGCTTGTCTGCGATGAAAAACACAATCCCAGCAATGAGGGTCACAGTGGCAGATCTTGATCTGGTTGTAGGATCGCTAATTGCTCGAGTTATTCATTAGGTTGAACAGACAATACAGGCATAACCCTACTAATGATCCTCACAATGAGCCTGGTGTTGGATGCGTATTCCCCCAACATGCCAATATGCAATTTCTGTAATGTGCTTTTAATTGAGTCCCCCATCCTGACTTTCTCACTCCATTTTTGTTACATAAAATGATCTTAATGAAGATTCAAATCCCTACGCCTTAATTGCTTCCTGAAGAGAAGTGCAATGCTTTGTTATTTATTTGCCTTAATTGCTTCCTGAAGCAATTTTCACATGAAAAGTGATAGAGAAGTGCAATGCTTTGTTATTTATTAGGGCAGTCTCATGTGAAAGCTTTTCTGCTCACGTGGATCCTCGTAGCTTCATGGCTGACAAGAAATTAAAAATTAGACTGAAAAAAAGGGGAACAAGAATCACCTGACAATTATCTCTGATCTACACCCACAGCTATGAACGCTCATAAAAAGGGATCTTTCACAAAAACCTCTTTGTTATCCTGGAGATTTCTCTTTGTGAACCACAGATTTACTAAGCTCTGCTGGTAATCTGCTCTCTGGCCCGTCCCTCTTCCTGCAGAGCAGGACACAGCTCTTGTTTCTGAAAAAGGTTTTGGTAAATCTTTGAGTCTTTCTGTCCACACTGGGAATACAGGGGCACACACAGAAGAACCTAACTGAGATCCTCACAGGGACAAGCTCTAACAGGAAAACCAGTGCAACAGACGCCACTGAGAAGTCACTGGAGGGGAACACAGAAGGATTTCATGTAGGAAATCTCATTCATCAGTTAAATTTCACCTGGGTTTAAATCATATCCTAGGGCATTTCATATCTGTGCTGGTGCAAGCATAACAGGCGTAACATTTTATGGATGCAAAATGTTGGGCAGTGGCTTCTGCTTCCTGGATGGAAAGCTCTGGTTTGGGAGCCTTCTGTATGTGTTTTGCATTGTTATAAGTGATGGAAGGTGTGTAAGGATGAATTTCATAGCTTGTCCGTTTTGAGAATCCTTCTACTTCTGTTGAGCCCTTTTTGGTGTGATTTTGCAGCTCTCCAAGAGCTTTGATGCACAAAGCAGGAAGCTAGAGAAGGTTGTTGCTTACCTGCAAGATGTAGGCAGCCAGTTCAAACACCACTTCGCTATCAACCTCAATGAGTTCCTTGAGAGACAAAACAAAACAAAACAAAACAGAGAGAGACAGAAAGTCCAATCAGTTGGAGCCCCTGCAAGAACGTGCACCTCCTCCCGGCTGTGGTGCACTGAGGCGTGCAGCGCCAGCTCTCCCCCCTGGCCGGGCTTCAAAGCATTCCCTGTGTTCCTGGAGACCACAGGAAGGCTGAACCTGCTCGCTGGGACGTGGAGAAAGCCAAATATTCGGTGTAATGGCTTGGGAAATGAAGCATAACTGGACATGGCATGAAGGGACTCCTGGGCAGGCGGGAGAAGAAGGTGGAGGGGTTCAGGGTTATTTTTGTTTTCTTTGTGATTTAGGGAAAGGTAACCTGGGAAGTAAAATCATGTTTTCTCCACAAAATACCCCCCGTGTTTCAGGGGAACACAGCTTTGTCCTTGGCTCTCAGAAGCAAGGAAATGAGAGAATTTGTCTTCACTGAAGTTGTGTCAAAGCCTACACAGAACTTTTCTGGCTCTTGTCCAAGTTAAATGCACAGGAAAAAGAGCCATATTCTGCCCTACAGGAGTTTTGGTTTCAGCTCCTTCAACCCCACAATTGGGGTTTTGGGACTGGGCTTGTTTTTTGGAATGACCTGTGAGAGCAAATCTCTTGCCATATCTAAACTGCTCCATTCTATAGGATTGGAGTCACGGATAAAACCAATCGTGAAAGGTCAGGTGAAACTGTGAGGGTTACGCTTGGGTGCTGCAGGCACATGAGGGACACTGGCGGCCTCATCCACTCCTCTCAAGGCCCTTCTACTGTGCCTGAGATGGTTGTGCTGGATGTGTGCATGGGATGCAGATCCATCAAAGATGTTTGGGAGAGGAGGCAGGACCTCATGGCCAAGTTCTCTTTCCCCAAGTCCCTGGCTCCTGACAAATGGCAGCTTTGGGGAACATAGTAGGCTTCCCCTCTGGAGATAGTTTTGGCCTTGGCCTTGCAACTAGATCTCCTATGCAGCCCCTTATGTGGCCAGGGCTGTTCAAGTAACATGGTTCAGCTTGCACCTGTGGTGGTTTTTCTGCTGTATTTATTTAAACTGCTGTTTTTAATATTTTGCTTCATCTGGAAAGAACTGAGTGATCTAAATATAGATGCCTGTTGTGATCCATGCTCCAGCCAAGCCGTGGCCACACCTCATTTACAAGCCACAGTCACTGCGTTGGCTCGTCTCTGGCAAAGTAAAAAGCAAAGGGAACAAAACAGAGGATAAAACCCAGGTGTCCTTGGCTCTCACCAGTGCCAGCTTTTTAAAATAAGCACTTGCCTCACCTCCTTCATAACGACTCCCTGGGGAGCAAAGACCCGCGCTGCCAGGGGCAATGAACACACCTTCCTCCGTTGAACTGAGCTGCCTGATTCACACAGGCACCTGCACCAACGACGTGTGAGCGCCAAGGGAAGGCGGCTGGTGTGATAAATTGATTCAAGCAGGGCCAGACTGGGGCTTTCAGGCATGTCCAATGGCAACAGGTCATGCAGAACAGGCCCAGGAGGAATCCGAGTGCCTGGAACCAGCCTCTGCACCCACATGCCAATGTTATGGCTAGTCTGGACTAGTCGGGGAGGTGGGCCAAGGCCCATCCATGGCCCTAAGGGTACATGGCACAGCAGAGCTCATGACTAAAGGCCGTTCTTTCCTCACATCTCGTCTGTATCGCCTCTTAGGAGCAGGTGTTCTTCCCTGAACGGGGCCCAAGCAGTGTCTGCGAGAGGACTAAACCCATGCCGGAGTGTGTGTAGTTCAACAGCACCACTGACAGTGGTGGGGTTGATGCCCAGGTGCTGGCTTGTTTGAGAGATCTGGCTCGGTCTTTTTTGGGGGTAGCTGTGCTAGCCCTGTGACAAGGGTTTGGGTGTGGGGTCAGTGAGTGCACAGCTGGATTCTTGGGACACAACAGGATGGGTCAAAAGGCAGACCGTGCACAGGCCAAGTAGGACAACTAAGGGCAACCCTAAGTTGCAGGGTGAGTCCAGTGGGGAACGTTTTCTTCCAACAAGGAAACTTCCCAGGTTTGGCAGTTTGCAACACCTGCAAGTTGCAGGAAGGACAAGCACTGGTTGTGCCTGAATACTGAATCCCTTTTTCCTTACCTAGAGGATTCCTCCAGGCGTGCCTGGCTGCGTGCTCGCCCTCTGTCTGATCTTGCACCCGTCTTTCAAATTCAGCACGTTTTTAATAACACAGCAACACTTGACTGTGGTAGGAAGTCAGACAGGGAAGGACTTGTGAGGGGGACTGGGCCAGGGCTATTTTTGGACAGAGATAACAGGCAGCTTGAATGTGCAGAGTAATGGTTTCAGGAGAGGTCAGACTAAAATAGGCCAACCTAGATCTGTAGGCACTTTTTTTCTTCCCCCTTTTTCTTCTTCTTAAGCTTTCTCCAAAAAAAGAACAGCAGTGTAAGCTTTTCCTGGCAATACTCCAAAAAGGAACTTTTCCCCAGGAACCAAAAATGTGATGCTCGCTGAGCTCGTTGCTGGAGAGGGCTGAGTAAGCACGTCTAATTGCACCCTTGCCAGAGAGCACAGCTCTGCAGAGCTCATCTCAGCAGTGCTGCCTCATCCCAGTGCGCTGGAAAAAATGGCATTTTCTGGCTCCCCCTATTTTATCCTGCACTTTAGGACATGCATATTTTGTCCCTGCATTTTAGGACGTGCAGAGGATGGGAAACTAAAACCCAAATTGCACATAAACTGGTTTGCTCAGCAGCTCACAAGCCTGCTTAGGGTGGTGGGACAAGGCACAAGGACTGTCTTGACTCCAGAAGTCCTTTCCTGCCACTTCCTCACCAGCAGATGGGAGGCGAATCACTGGGAATCACTGGTTTCTGCTGGTGCAGGGTGAGGTATGAGGGAATACAGCTCTATTCCAGGGAATACAGCTGTCAAGAGGCCTCTCCACAGTCCACATCACCCCTCCAGCCCCGCTGGCAGAGTCCTTAGCCAGCCAGGCTTTACCTGGGCTCAGCAGGTTCATGCCATGCAGAAAAAGGAAAAGAGAAGGCAGGAAAGTTTGGGGGACTGCAGGGAGGGGAAAAGTCTGTTCCTGTAAGAGCGGATCTGGCAGCTCTCAGTCAGGACCCGACAGGGCTGGAAACCTGCTCCAGGGCTCTGAGGTTAATTTTCCGGACTCTGCCCCTTCTACTTATGTGCTCAGCTTGTCGCAGTGCAGAAATCAACCCTGCTGCTCTGCCACTGGTGCTCCAGCCGGGCCACGGGCAGCAGCCTGAGCCAGAAAGCCCTTATCTCTGGCACACAGAGCGCCTTGCTACAGGTAGCTCTCGTTTATGGCTGAGTGATAACAGGCTGGTGTTTTCAATAACCTACAAGGCTATTTTGGGCATAAAAAAATAATATTTCTCACACTCTTACACATGTTTTCCTTCACAAACATCCTCACACAAACCCTCCCCAAAAAAATAATATTTCTCACAGATTTCACACACTCTTACACATGTTTTCCCTCACAAACATCCTCACACAAACCCTCCCTCATGCTCTCTCGCACTGCCCTCGCACACGCAGTCTCCCCACACACATATGCTTTCAGGCAATCACACCGTCACACACACTGGCCCATCCTAGGCCTTACTCACACGCACACTCTTGCACACCCGCGTTCTTGCACACACACGAGCACACGCCTGTTGCACACCCTCACACACCTCCTCTCACACTGACCTCGCACCTACAGGCACACGCACTGGCTCCCTGTGCCACAAGATGGCGCCGCGCCTCAACGTGAGCGGCTGCTGCCGCCTTCCGCGCGCGAGCGGGAACCGCTAACGCGAGCCTCAGCAGCTCCCGAAAATGCGAGTTTTTAACAAACAAATAAATAAAACCACGAATTTCCCTTTAAATACACGCGATCTGGTCATTTAACAGCTGCACATGCCCTCCTGTTCACCTCACAAGCTCTTGCTGGGGCGGCTTTACCTCAGGGCACCTCTTGCAAAGAGAAACTACCCTGAGAGCATGAGGTAGTTAGAGAAGATGGACGGGATGGAAGAGCAGGCCTAAGGACTCTCTTAGTCCAGGTCCTTACCTTGTAGATGCAGGACTTGGCATTCAAGAAGAACAACTCAATGGTGGCGTTATCCTTTAGGTAGGAGATGCTTTCAATGTAGAACCTGAAAGGGAAAATGGCAGAGGTGAGAAAAGAGCAGGGCGAAAGC